GCCTCTTGGCGCCTCTTGAGGCCTCCTGGGGGCCTTCATGGGTGCAAGGCTTGGATTTTGGTTCGAGTTCCCTCTCGTGGGTCCCTTTGGGGGCCGTCTGGAGGGAGACAGGCTGGTTCATCCGATGGCGATTCATCAGCTCCGACTCATCCGATCTGCGGTCGGGTGAATCGTGACAGAGTGAATTAGATCGGATGAACTAGTCAACGGAAGGGTTAGTGAGCCCGGATGAGTTAATCACTAAACAAGTTAACCTGAATAAGTTAGGCACAAACTAAATTAGGCCTCGGGTGAGTCAGGCTCCGGGTGAGTTAGGCGCTAGGGGAGTGGGGCGTCATCCGAGTGAAGCTTCGGATGAGTTAGGGCCACCAGGTGAGGCAGGCACCAGGCGAGTTAAGCTCGCCAGACGAGCTAGGCACCTCATGAATTAGGCACCAGATGAGTTAGACACCTGATGAGTTAGGCACTGGATGAGTTAGGCACGGATGAGTTAGGCACTGTATGATTGAGGCACCATATGAATTAGGCACCGGATGAGGTATGCACCAGATGAACTATTCACTCGATGCATTAAGCACCAGCTGACGTAGGCACCGGATGAATTCGGCCGCCACCGCATGAGTTAGGCGTACCCGGTGAGCTGTGTGTGCCGGGTGGCTTAGGGGCACGCGGGCCGAGTTGAGGGCACCGGGTGAGTTAGGCACAGCGTCCGAGTTTGGACCACCGGGTGAACTACCGGTTCCGGGTAAATGAGGCACCGCGAGTGCTTTCGGCAACCAGCTAAGTTTGGGGACCGAGTGAGCGGCACCAGGCGAGTGAGGCACCGGGTGAGTTATGGGGGACCGACTGAAGCCAGATCGGGGTTATCGGATCGAAATTCGTTTGATTACAGAACGTTCTGAAGTCCATCAACTTTTCAGATCAGTTTAGTTTGGTGCTGGTACAGCTGGTCTTGTGCGTTTCTTTCTCTGCCTTGCGGACTTCTGCCCGTTTTGGCCTTGTGTTCGTGTTCGATTGGGGATGGCCAGGCCATTGCAAATTTTCTTGGCCGCAGGACACGTTGCAGTCAAGCAAACTGTGAGGTCGTCGTCGTCGTCGTCGTCGTCGTCGTCGTCGTCGTCATCTCCCGCTCCTGTTCCCCCTCCCCCCCGTCCTCCTCCTCATCCTCCTGGTCCTCATCCTTCATCCTCCCACTCGTCCTCCTCTTCCTCCTCCACTTCCTCCTCCTCCTCCTCCTACTCCTCCTCATCGTCCACCTCCTTCTCTTCTCCATTGTCTTTCCTCCTCCTGTCTAGGAGCCCATGATGCCTAAACTATGTTTTGTGATTGTTGGGTGTCTGGCTTGAGAGACGATTGCTCTTTGTGATGCCATTCAGTTTTGAGAATTCCGTTGTTTTCCATATATTTGACGAAACTCGCGCCCAAGAGTTGTCTTTCGGGGTCATTTTTTGGGGCGAACTGACTCGTCATCGCTTCCGCTCCCAGCCGCGCCTGTCCTCAGCGTTGCTTGCCAGCGCCTCCTGGCGGAAGGCAGCGCAAGTGAGTGTAACTTAGTGTCAGTTAACGCCATGTGATGGTATTGGAGCGTGAGCTAGCGTAAGCTAGCGTAAGCTGCCGCTAACGTTTCGGATCGCTCTTCGGATTCCACTGGGCCAGGCCATGTGTTTGAACATTTGCTTGTCAACAACACTTTTCGTAGTCAAGCAAATTTCAAGGCCGTCGTGGACCTCACGTATCCTGGTCTTGGGCGCATCTTGGGTTTTCTGGGAAAGCGTGGGTTTGTCCTGGCTGTCTTGTCGGGCTTCACTGGGAGAGGCGAGGCTTTTGAACTTGTGCTTGATTCAAAGTCGCTTGATTGCCAAGCGCTTCGTAGTTGTAGCCAATCACATTTTCTAGGGCTATACATTCCTGGTCTTCGGGCTCTGGGCGCTTCTTGGGGTTTCACTTTCTGGTCTACGGGCACATCGTGCTGCGTTCAGGTAGTCATTGGGCTATCTATTTCTGGACTTGGGCGCTTCTTGGGCTCTCTTGGGAGGCCTGGGATATTCGTGGTTTGGCTATGGGGCTTGGCTGGGCCAGGGCAGCCCTGAGAACATTGGCCCGATTACCAAAACATGTGCCGTCAAGCAGATGGCCAAAGGTCGTCTCTGAGCTGTCGGGTCCGTACCTTGGGCTCCCCTTGGTTCTGGTTTGGGTTCTCTGGCGCTGTCCTGGCCTGCTTTTCCGGCTGGATTGGGCCAGGCGAGGCGTGTGAGGCATGCCCAAAAAAGGCCTTGCCTTCGAGGATCGAATGAGTTGCAATCTCTTCCTCGGCGGAAGGCAGCGGAAGGGCGGCGGAAGTAAAACGAGGCCGCCTCCTCCGTGGGAAGCCGGCGGAAGGCGGCGGAAGTAAAACATGCGCCCCCCAAGAGATGAACACGTTTTTGGGTTCAGGTTATTCGGAATCGCCCATTTGAACATTTGTTTGACTACAGAACGTTTCGTATTCAAGCAAGTCTGTTGGTGGTCCTGGAGCTATCACTGGCGCTCGTGGGCATCCTTCGGCTTGTCTTAGGGAGTCTCGGGTCGTCCTCGCTTGCCTATCCTTTTTCGAGAGAACATGGGCTTGGATGAGGATGATCATATTTTTTCCAGAGGACGGCGAAAACGATGAGGAATTGAAGGAACAAACGGCCGAGGATGAAGGGAACGTTGGAGACAAGAGGGGAGGTGGCGGGAGTGTACGAGGACACGTGCGACGACGGAGAGGACGTGACGGTGAATTTCTGTGCTGGGTGAGTTCGGCGACAGTTGAGATCGGCACCGGGTAAGTCGGGCACGGGGTGAGTTACTCACAGGTGAGTCAGCCACGGGGTGGCGCGCACGGGGTGAATTAGGCGTTGGGGAGTCCTGCACCCGATGAGTTAGCCAGCGGATGAGTTAAGCACCAGATGAGTTAGAACCGGATGAGTTGGCCAGCGGATGAGATAAGCACCAGATGAGTTAGAACCGGATGAGTTGGTCACCGGATCTGTTAGTCACCGATTCAAGCACCAAGTGAGCGTGGCACCGAATGGGTCTTGGGCCCGGTGAGTTAGGCATGCACCAGATGAGTTTGGAACCAGATTTGATCGGAGCCGAGTGAGTTCGGCGTCAGATGATTCTGGAACCAGATGAGTCAGCAACCAGATGAGTTAAGCAACGGATGAGTTGGTTACCGGATGAGTTAACTAAGCACATGATGAATTGGTCACCGGATGTGTTAAGCACTTGGTGAGCTTGGCACCGAGTGAGTTCGGGGCCGGGTGAGTTAGGTCTGCACCAGGTGAGTTTGGCACCAGATGGGACCAGAGCTGAGTGAGTTCGGCGTCGGATGAGTCTGGAACCCGATGAGTTCGTCACTAGATGAGTTCAGCAACGGAGTCATTGGGTGAGTTAGTCACCGGATGAGTTGGTCACCGGATGAGTTAAGCATTGGGTGAGTTTGGCACTGAGTGTGTTAGGGGCCAGAAGAGTTTGGCATGGACCAGGTGAGTTTGGCACCAGATGGTGTCAGAACCAAGTGAATTCGGTGCCAGATGAGTCTGGAATTGGATGAGTCAGTCATCGGATGAGTTTGCACAGATGAATTCGACTCTGGTTGAATGAGCCTGGATGAATGAGGCAACGGATGAATCAGACTGGATGAGTTAAGCATCGGATTAGTTCGGCGCAGATTGGTTAGGCATCGGATAAGTTAAGCTGGATGATTCGGACCGGACGAGTTAAGCACCGGATTAATCAGCCCTGTTTCGTCTTGTGACCCTCTTGGGCCGTCTTGGTGCCCTTTAAGAGGTCTCTTGGGCCGTCTTGGGGTGGTCTTGGGGTCTTGGGGGCCTCGTGGGTCGTTTTGGAGCGTCGGAAAGCAGAAAAGGATAGAACGCCAATACATATCCTTCAACACACCTAAGGAAGATACATGATTTTTTGCATCTTGTGGACCTCTTGTGTGGGCTCTTGGAGGCCTCTTGGGCCAGAGGCTTCTGGGGCCATCATGAGGCCAGATTGGGCGTCTTTGAGCGTTCCTTCGGCGACTCGAAGTCCAATTTGACACATGCTAAGGGTCCAGGACGTCGCTTTGGGAGGGCACAGCGTCCACAGGAGACGCAGGAAACACCCCAGAACTCACGCGAGCCACCCTCGGCCGGCCCAAGAACGCCCGGGAATTTGGGGGGTCCGAGCTTTTGAGAGATTCAAGCTCTGGCTGCAGGAGCCGCACAGCTGCGAGCCTTGGGGCGATCCACCTCGTGCCAGAGCCACGGTGGCGGATCTGAGCGAGCCCCTGCTTAGTGTCGAGACGGTCAGGCCGACTGAAGGCCAAAGGAGCTCAGGACCCATGAGACCGTCCACGAGAGGTGGTACAGCCCACCCTGTTGTTTGGAGCCTCTCTGCAGGGTGGACGCTGCTTGATTGCCGGCGCTCTCAGCCCTGCTTTGGCGAGCGTTATGTCAGGCCGCGGGAGGCTCTGTGTACAACTGGGCACATGCACGCGGTCAGGCCTGCGCTCATGAAGCGAGCATGGCGCAGATATCTTGCCTCGATAATTTCGTCATTCGCGCTCACGAGTGCGACGTTTGTGGGGCGATTGCGTTCTGCCGCGTTGAAAATACGGTGGAGGCATTTGTGCAGGAATCGTCCCAGGAGGCGCCAGACTCTGGAGGATTCCATATCCAATGAGGGCCGGCGGGGATGTCCGTGGCCGATCCACGATTCGGTTTCCATTGGCTTCCAGACCTTGGATTCCTTATCGAAGGGTTCCTTATCACATGCCCCCACCGTATTTTCGGAGGCTGATAGACCTCCTACCCTGACACGTCGATTTGCGAATTGGCCGTTTTCGGTTCGCGAGAGGGCGTCGCGGCCGTCACTTTTGCGGGTCCAGGTCCGTCGGTTGCGGCTCTGGGCCGTTCTCACTAAAGGGTGGTTTGCTACATGGAGGTTTGTCCACCGCCGATATTTGCATCCGGCGAGCCTCCCGTCAGGTTGCGGGCGGCCTGCTCGCGCTGCAGCAGCGGCCGATCGGCGGGCTCCGCTGTCTGCTGGCGTCCGGGAACCAGATCGGGCATGCGGGCGCGGAAGTGCCCCGGGGGAGCTCAACTGTACAGATCCTCGTCCCTCCCCCCCCTTCCCCCTTCCAGGAAGGACGATAGCAACCAGAGGAGGAGGGGGGGAGGAGAAGGAAGGATGAGGAGGAGGCGTAGGAGGAGGAGGAGGAGGAGGAGGAGGAGGAGGAGGAGGAGGAGGAGGAGGAGGAGGAGGAGGAGGAGAGGAGAGGGAGGAGGAGGAGGAGGAGGAGGAGGAGGAGGAGGAGGAGGAGGAGGAGGAGGAGAAGCGGGGAGGAGGAGGAGGGGGAGGAGGAGGAGGAGGAGGAGGAGGAGGAGGATGAGCAGGGGAGGAGGGAGAGGAGGGGGAGGAGGAGCAGGAGGAGAAAGAGGGAGGAGGGGGAGGGGGAGGAGGAGGAGGAGGAGGAGGAGGAGGAGGAGAGGAGGAGAGGAAGAGGAGGAGGAGGAGGAGGAGGAGGATGAGGAGCAGGAAGAGGAGGAGGAGGAGGAGGAGGAGGAGGAGGAGGAGGAGGAGGGTGGAGTGGGCTTACTTCACTATTCACTTCCGATGTGTTCTCGGTGCGATCGGGATGGGCATTGGACGGACGGGGGCGCGGGGGCGAAGACCGACATCATTTTGAGTTGGCGTCGCAGCCGGCTTCGCGGCGGGCTTTGTCCACTCGAGACGAAGAAGCCGCACGTTCAACGGCGGCCGCTGTCGGTTCTGGACGGCATCTGCTGTTGGGCACCGTGCCCATTCTTGTCATACTCTAGGCCTCCTAGATGGGGTCCGAGTAGACGGGGTCGGAGGATCCCGCCGCATCCCCGATGCATCTGCGATGCGGCGCGATGCGGATCCCGATCTTCTCCACGCCGGCGTCTCCGATGCATCGCCGATGCATCGCCGGTGCATCGCCGATGCATCGCCGATGCATCGCCGATGTATCAGCGATGCGGCGCGACCCTCCGACCCCATCTACTATGACCCCATCTAGGAGGCCTCTACGTACCCACTTCGTGCGTGCCAAGGTGCTGGCGACCAGCTTCTTCTGCGGAGGCGCCTCGAGCAGCACCAGCCGCGGTGGCGCAGGCGAGGGCAGGATCAAACATCACAGATTGCACCATGCGCTGTTGCAGTCGAGACGCTAACACGGCTAACACGGTGTTGGACTCAGGAGAGGGCCTGGTTCGTGGACTGCTCCTCGGGTCCAGGTCGGGGAACCCTCTATGGTACGGCCCAGAAGCTAAATATTCGGAGAAGTGCTGGTGTGCCGAGTCAGTGGGGATTCGGGATGGCCGCGCGGCTTGGGTCGCAAACTGGAACATACACATTACCAGTGGCGGGTTGTTCTTCAATCCCACGACTTTTTAAAGGTCAGGGACGACGTCGGGGTGGGGTGGTGTATACCTGTTCCTCCGTTCTCCAAGGGAAACAACAGAACATGTATACACCAGGGTCCCGCATACACCAGGATCCGCGTTCCTGTGCGAATTTCAGCGCGGGGTCGGGAAAAGCGTCGGTGTATAGGGTCCGTTTCCCTACTGGGGGCTCGGGCCGCTCTTCGAGGACGCTGCGGTCGACGGGGGCCTCTGGGGTGCCAGAGCCTCGCGGCGAAGGACCGTGCCGTGAGGTCTTCGCGGATCTCGAGGTCGCCACACGGCCTGTCCTGGCCGAGGCTCGGCGCGGCCGCCAGAGTCGGAGATTGGAGCATAAACATCACCAGTGGCGGGCTGTTTTCCAATCCCAGGACTCCTTGAGGGTCGAGGACGACGCGGGGGTGGTGTGGTGTATTCTCTTTTCCCCGGTGTCCCGGGGCAACGACGAAAAATGTATACGCCAGGGTCCCGTATACACCAGGACCCGCTCTCCAGTGCAAGTTCTGATGCAGGGCCGGAAGAAGCGTCGGTGTATGGAGTTCGATTCCCTACAAAGTCCCTCCGTTCCTGATGAATGGCTCCTTCCGCTTGGGGGCCGGAAGATTGTGCAGGCAAAACTCGTAGCATGGACGCACGGATGTCCTTAGGGCTAAGTCGGGCTTGTCCCTCTACAGGGGGAGTCTTCAAAAATAGTCAACAAATTTGACCATTTGGGGAGTATTTGGGGGGTATTCTTTATTTTCGTAGAAAATCCCCCTGTAGGGGGACACGCCCGACCTAACCTTAGGGCGTCCTTGCCTCTGCGGCACCACCTTGGCGGTACTCACTGGCCAGCCCTTCAGGGTCTTGGCACTCCGCCGCCCAGGAGCCAGTGCCGACTTGGGCGCCCAGGGCCCCTGCGTCCTCGCCGCCCGCCCCCACCACAAGACTTCGACCGTGCTCTGTCGGGGCTTCGCGCGGATCCCTCGGGCCCGCTCCGTGCCGCTCCTGGCGGCGCCCCGCCGCCCTCTGGCGGGTCCCGCGCCGAGGCGCCCGCGCGGGCGCCTCCCGAGACACAGGCGCTGAAGGCGTCGCCCTCGGCACCTTCCCGGCCGGGTCCGCCGGCGGAGGGGGCGGCAGGAGGCCGCAGCAGCAGACGTGGTGCCTCAGCTCGGCATCGTTGGGCCGACATCCCTCCCCCTCCCCATGCCCACCCAAAACCCCCGCCACTCGGAGGAGGAAAAGGTACCCCATACCTCCACGCCCTCGCCCGTTCCTCCCCTTTCTGGGCCTCCTGGGAGGCCCTCGTCGCCACCGCTGGATTGGCCTCGAAAGTCTGGTCAGAACGCACGCCGGGAGAGGTCCAGGGAGTAGCGGTATCGGTACCTTGTGGTTTCCCCAACCATCTCATCCCCCCAGTTGGGGATACTCTGGGTTTCTTACTTTACTAAGCGTGGGGGGGCCCCCCCCCGACGGGGGTCAACCTCGCTTCGTCGTCGCGCTGCGACAGGGGTCGGAGCGCCTTCGACGTGCGGTGGCTGCCCGCGACGGGGTTCGATGTGTGGCTGGTGGCGGGGGTGACGCCCCCCCGACGCTTATTCAGAAACTCGGAGTATACCCTCCGAAATCTGACAGAAAGTGTTTATACCCCCATCTAGGGGGGCAAACCGGCCACTGGGGCCCAGGCCACGCGAGTGGGTATAGGGATCGGTTGAACGGTGCTCATCAACCTTGCTTCGGTAGCAAATCATGAGAGCCTTGTGCGCCCTCGAAATTCTGTCTTTGGCGTCGACTAGCGTCTATTAGCGTCTGGGAGTCGATGAGATAGCGCCGATTTAGCGTCGGCTCGCGTCGGTTAGCGTCGATGTGCGGTAGATCAGCGTCGATGTGGCGTCGGCTAGCGTCGATTCGCAAACGCCGACAAGATGGCCTGGGATGCTCCCACGAGTTGCAACCCAACTTTTTGGATCCAGGGTTTTCCCGGGCTTGGCCACAACGCTCATCCTCGGAGGATGCGCAACGGGGGTCGATCAATGGGGGGGGCAGCGGGGGCTGCAGAAGGGGGCCCTTCGGTGCCCTCCAAGGGGCCCCCGAGGGCCCAGAGAGGGGCCCTCCGGGGCCCCAGAAGGGCACCTTTCTCCCCCGCATGGTATCGTCCCCCCCTGTCACCCGTTCGCGCCCAGCATCCCGTTGCCGATGCTTCCAGGCGGGGAGCTCACGCTGAGCCTGTCGGAGAACCCGCTCGGGGACCAGGGCGTCGCCGCCGTGGCGGCCGCGGTGCGGTCACAGGAGTGCCGGGCGGCGCTCCAGCTGTGCGAGACGTCGTGCGGCAGCGAGGGGTGCACCGCGCTGGCGCAGAGCCTCCACAGGGCGATGGCCCCAGCTCAGCGGAGGAAGGACCGGCAGTGTCGGACCGAGGTGTAAGATCGCGGTCGGCTCCGTGAGGGTACCCTGATGTTCTTCGTGCTCGCGGGATGTCGTTGTGCATCCTGGGGGAGGGTACCATCGAGTGATCTGATGGTTTGGGGTGTCTTGGCCGGCGGAGGGTCTTGTGTTCTAGAGGGGTGCGCTTATGTCCAGGGTCTGACTGTCCCGCTACCCTGCGCTCGTCGCCACAGTTGGACTCGCTTCGATTCCCTGGTCAGAGCGCACCCCTCATGAGTGCCAGGGAGCAGCGGTATGTGCCTTTGTGCTCCCCCACTGGCTGCTTGGTCGGAGGAGCGTCCCGCCGCGGAAGCACCACGACGGGCCCTGACAAGGGGCCCCGGGGCCGCCAGAGGGCGACACGGGAAGGGGTCGCGGCTTGCAGGAAGGTCGCGTTGAGAAGGCCACGAGGTCGGGGGCCTCGGGGTCGGAGGGGGAAGCGACACCAGCACCGCCAGCAGGGCCACGCGGGCCACGCGGGGCGCAGCGGTCCACGGTGCTTTTTTTGCCGATTTGAAGATCTGGAGACGTGTCGAGCCGGGCGCCAACCAGCGGCGGCTCCACACCACCGTGGACGCCCCCCACGGTGCTCCTTGCCGGTTGCGGTCTCTTGTGTTTTTCTTCCTGTGTCCTCTTGTGCGGAGTTGGCCCGTTCAGCGACGGAAGCGGGGTCGCCTTGCCTCCTCCTCCTCCCCCGCCCACGGGGTGTTTATCTGTCAGGGGCGCACCAGTTTCGGTCTTCTCGGAGTCTGCCAGCAAGCCACGTTGCGCACGGTTGTGGTAAGGGCTGGGCAGAAGTCAGGACGACAAGGTGGGGGAGGAAACGTGGCAGTAATGAGCCAGCTATGAAGCACAGGCGGGGCTTGGGAAGCGTATGAGGAGGATGCCCGAGACAAGCAGGCATGCGGTAAGTTCTGGCATTGGGGATTACTGGTAACTAGTGTCACGATTAGGGCGCAGTCTCGTTTCGGGGTTGCAGCTGGTCAGTGCTGGGATGCGCATCTGGCATGTGCTAGGTCGGTATGAGACACGCACGGCGGGCACGGAAGTAAATACCTGTGCGGCGGGCACTGATGTTTTGTTCCTCCCCTTTCTCTTCAATGTCTTTGAAGTTGTCTTGCTTCCTTTGTTGCTGCTCCTCCCCCTCCCGCGTCTCCTCCTGCTGCTCCTGTTCCTCTCCCGGCCCTCCTCCTCGTCCACAGTCGCTCAATCTGAATACTCTTTTCCTCTCTCCTCTGAGAATGCACAGTCGGGGGTGGACAGAACCCCCAACAGTGACACGTCGATTTGTCCGTTTTCGGTTCTCGAGAGGGCGCCGTGGCCGTCATTTTCCAGGCTTGCGCCCGCCAGGTTTGGGCCTCAGGTCGTTTTCACTAAACCACGTTTTACTAAAGGGGGATCTGTCCATCCCCGACACAGGCTCTCCCTGTCCTTTCTTTTCCACACACCAGATTTCAGCATTTGTTGTGTATATAACGTTTTTTCGATCTGGACGTCTTCGGATTTTCAAGGATGGTGTTCCCGCTGCCGCGCTGGCCACATTTCAGGATCGGTACTTTGGTCCCGTCGTTCATCATGCGCTCTCGCCCCAGCGCGGGCCACACTTCTGGATCATCACTGTTCCCCGTCGTTGCCGTCCGCTTCCTTCCCCGTCCTCCGCACTCCCCTGATGCTCCTGCTCATCCTGCTCCTTCCACTCCTTCTCCTTCGCTTCCTCCTTCCTCATCGTCCTCGTGCTCCTTCTTCTCCTATGTACGAAGCCCCCCTTTTCCGACTGCACTTGCCAGTCGACGGACAGAACAGGCTGCAACACGGTGGAGGCCCTCGCCCCCCCCTCTCGGACGACGACGACGTCCTCCGAGATTGGTCGGCCGCCCGTCTCCGCTGCGCACTCAGATAGCCGCGCTGGACCTCAGCTACAACACCGTGCCCACCGGGGCCCTGAACATGCTGGTTGTGGGGCGGGCCTCCTCCTCCTCCTCCTCCTCCTCCTCCTCCAACTCTTCTCCCTTCGCCTCCTCCTCCTCCTCCTCCTTCTCCTTCTCCTTCTCCTCCTCCTCCTTCAACCCTTCTCCCTTCGCCTCCTCCTCCTCCTCCTCCTCCTTCTCCTCCTCCTCCTCCTCCTCCTCCTCCTCCTTCAACCCTTCTCCCTTCGCCTCCTTCTCCTCCTCCTCGTTCACCCCCATCGAGCGACGAGCATATCCGCATCCAGGCCGCCCTCGCGGTCAGGGCACCGAGGCGCGGCCCCCACGAATGCACGCGCGGTCCCACGGGCCTGCGTTCCGCGCGGGGCAGCCGCGCAGGGCCGCACGGCGTCCGCGGGGTCGCCTCCGAGAGAAGTCTGGGCCGCGGAGCTGTGGGCGCGGGTACGCCTCTCGAGGGAAAACATGCGCCTCGTCTCGCCTCGCCTCCTCGTCCTTCCTCTTTCCTTCTCCTTCTCCTCCTCCTCCTCGTTCCTCATTCCTCATTCCTCCCTCATTTCTCTTTCCTCCCCATTGGCCAGGGGAGGAAACGGTACCCACACTGCTACCCTTCGCCCGTTTGGGTGGAGGGCAGATGGTGAGATCTGAGGTGCCGTTTCGATGGATCTTCGAGGTTGCAGTCTGCAAGAGGCGGATCACAAGACGTATTGCTGTTCGAGGTGCAAAAGCCCATGCGGATTTCACTCTGAGCCCTCCACCCTACGAAAATGCTCAGAAAATGAAATAAATATAGACTTTTGGCGCTCCGCGCAGGTTTCTTGGATCCGCGCTGCCCCCCCCCCCCCCCCCCTGGCGGCGCGTTCCAGCGCAGATCCAAGAAATTCGCGCGGAGCGTCACAAGTTATTGCTTAAGCCGTTTTCTCTTCTTCTAGCGAAGCTGTGGATGTGAATGCGTTTTCCGCTGGATATCCTCATCCTCCTCTCGAAGAGCGAGGAAAGACATTAAGCATACGTTGATGGAGGTCTGGCGGAAGCTTGGACGTCCTCTTCCCGCGATGGCGGAGGTGGCTCCAGCGCGCCACCCGGCGGGGGAGTCTTTTGGGGGCGCCTCCAGTCGGCCAATGCGGGCTTCCAGCCCACCCGAAAGGTTATGTTATGCTCCTCTCGTGGTTTGTCACAGTCAACCCGCATAGTAAGGATGGGCAACCTTCCCAAGGGTACCCTTGCATCCTTGCCCCTTGCGGCCCATCCTTCGCCACTTTCGCTGGCCAACCTCGTTCGACAAGCGTTAACATGGCCTGCCAAGGCCCTTGCATCCTTGCCGCGCATCCAAGCCCCGAAAGATTGTGTTCCTGCCGTGGTTTGTGATTACATTCTCCTCCTCCCCGTTCCTCCCCCACAGCGCCTCGCGGGATCTTCCATGCATTTCGATTCGAGAAGAAAGAACGCCACAAACATAAACTTTTGGCGCTCCGTGCGGATTTCTTGGATCAGCGCTGGGTACCCCTCCCTGGCGCGCGGAGCGCGCCAGGAGCGGCGCCGGAGGCGCCGCCATTCCCTGGCGCCGGAGGCGCCACACCACAGGACGTGTCGGTTCGGGCAGTCCTGGCGCTTCGCCCGACACGAGTGGGGGAAGCCCCTTTTCACGCTGCGGCTCTCACCAGGGCCCCTCGCTAGGCAGTTTTTCCAGAAAGATCCAACAGTTGCAGAGATGGAGGATTGGACGTTTCCTCAAACGTGGCTATCGCTTTAGCTAGCGGTGCGCACACTCGTCGTAGTCGTCTCCAACAGCTGCACGTATGGAGGGGGATCGCGTTCAAACTGTGGTTCTTCCTGGAAGGCCGCGTTTGTTCGCTTTGAACGTCCCGGAAGGCTTCACATGTGGAGGGCTGCATTCTGCCTCTTCGCACGTGGCTCTGGCCAGGGACGGGTAAGTTTGGAAATGTCATTGAGAAAGTGTGCTCTCGCTGGATAGATGGCGTTGGCCACACCATGACTTCTGGCAGCGAGTGCGAGGGCCTTGCTATGCATTACCTGCAGACGGGCGATCTCCTCCAGGCGGCTATACTTCTATTCAGCGTGAGCCAACACCAGTAGGGCTCTGAGCTTCTCGGCAGGCGTCCCCTCTGTGCCGAGGTTTTCCGACCAGGGTAGCGTGGTCGATATTTTCAGGCCAGTGAGTTTTAGATAGCTCGGATACTTGTTGCCCCTGGCCGCTGGGGATACGTGTTGCCCCTGGCCGCTACATGTGTTCTACGGCCGCGCAACGCATCCACGTTATGTAGCTCTCAGCCCCATTACAAGTCATGGAGGACACGAACCAAGTAAACCAACATCCCCCCAAACAGCGCATGCTTGACTGGATCGCCGTTCCAACGCAGTCACTTGCAAGCCTTCCGCGTGCAAGCCGGACCAGAAGCTCCATGAATGCCGAACTCGGTCACAACGTTGGCTTCCCAATATACCATCATTCGGATGCGTCCTCACCCTTCCTCTGTGCTAGACAAGCCACTTCCCAAGACCTCCCGCGAAGACCTCCGGGGAGTCGCCTCCCAACCTAGGGGGTGCAGGTCAAGTGGGGCAGGGAGGAGGGAGGATGAGGACGAGGACAGGAGGAGAGAGCAGAGAGGTGAGAGGCAAGGCTGGAGCATGCGCGCACGGCTTTTTCTACTGATTTCGACATGCGCGCGCGCGAGGCCCGTACAGGTCTGGTGTGATACGAGTTCGTATTTACAGCGAGCGATGGGGCAGAACTGTGTGTGAATCTACTACCACTGGGAGGGCCGCTAATTGAATGGGGGGTAGATCCTCGCTTCCTTGGAAAAAGGAGATGTGTGTAACGCAAGCCACGTGGCGCTCGTAAATTTGATGAATTTGGGCTTGTCAAGTCAAGTGCTGGCGCACTCATCCCACCCGCCTTCCCGCAAGTTAGTTTGGATTGCAAAACCCTTGCCGCGGCGATTGCGCTGACTGCTTGGCGCTGGCCTGCGCATTTCTGCGGCCGCGCAGGCGCGCGCAAATGTGCAATATATGCGGCGCGGCTTGCACGGTACAATTTATGCAAGGCGGTGACAGGCCGGTGACGGGCCGGTGACGGCGACAACATAGCCGCCAGACCGCCCGACAGGCCCACACGACGGGCGGCGACGGGGCGGCGACGGCGGCAACATTGCCGCCAGACCGTCAGGGAGGCCTTAGTTCTTCAGAACACACGTGTGAAATCGTAAGTGCGAGCATTCTTATGGGAAAGGAGGAGCGGGTTTCCGGATGTTTCTCTCCCTTCCCTTCCCCTCCCGCGTCCAGCTCCAGGCCTGTTCCCGGCAGGAAAATCGACGACCAGCAGCCTCCGGATGCCTCCCTGCGGCGTCAACGGCGGCGGCGGGCGGCGGCGGCGGCCAGGTCGGCGCCCTCGGGCCGCCGCTGCGGCAGCTCGGCCTGTGCCGCGTGGCGCCCGGCGGCAGCGGCGGCCTGTTCCGGGGGTCCACCGTGCAGGCCCTGGCGGCCTCGCTCGCAGGCGGCGCCTCGCGGCTGCCTTCGCAGCCGTCGTCCTCCCGCTCCTCTTGTTCCTCCCCCTTGCCTCTCTCTTTGGTTCCTCCCCTCCCTGCGGCAGCAAGTCATGGGAGCCTGGCGTACGTGGCTTCCGTCTTCGGCGTCGAGTGGCGTCCGGGAGTCGACGGGGCAGCGCCGATTTGGCGTTGATGTAGCGTCGATGAGCGTCGGTGTAGCGTCGATCCAGCGTCGACGAGCGTCGGCTCGCAAGAGCCGACAAGAGGGCATGGGAGGCTCCCTAGAGTTGCCACCGAACCTTCCGCCCCCGCCCCCTCCAGACTGCACTGCCGCCGCGCGGTGTCGCGGCGGTGGCTCGTCGTCGGCGTCTCGGGCGGCGTCCGCGGACCCGCGGCCCGAACGGGACCGGGGAGGTGGAGAAGAGACGTCGCCCGAACTTCCGCGTCATCACCCTACAGTCAACCAGTACAGTAAGGATGCGCGATAAGGATGCAAGGGCCTTGGACGCCCATTTCGAAGTTTTTCGAGCGGGGCGCGGCCAGCGAAAGCGGCGAAGCATGGACCGAGGATGCAAGGATGCAAGGGTACCCTTGGGAGGGTTGCCCATACTTACTATGCGGGGTGACTGTAGAGCCCACAGGGGGGGGGGATCTGGAGTGGGAAGGGGGAGGGAGAAGGACACCTCAGGGCTCGGCCACGGACTCTCGCCGACGAGCGGCTGGGCAGGTCCCTGCAGCCTACCGCTGGGCTTCGAGTGCGAAAGCCGCAGCTACACAACAGCATCTCGGGAAGCCAGCGAAAGGAATCGATGGGGGTTAAAAGGCCCTCTCTTCCTCCGTCTCCTCATCCTCCCTCTGCTCTCCTCCCTCCCTCCCCTCCCCTCCGCTTCCTCTGCTCTCTTCCCTCCCGCCCTTTTCCTCCTCCCCCCGCCTGGGCGTGCCCGCCCGGCCGACTTCCGCGGGGCGGGACATGGGGGAGCGGGGGCATCCGTCAGGCGACCGCCGGGCGGGGGGGGGGAGGGCAAGCGCCGCGGACGAGGCCCAGCCAAGCCTGATTAGGGCGCCCGGAGCCACGGCGCGTGGGGATGGCCTCTCGTGCCCCAGATCCCCTCCGCCTCATCCGCGGGGGGTTCGATCAGAGGAGGAGGAGGTACCCGTACTGCTGCCTCTCCCTCGTAGTCCCCTTTTTGGGCCTCCTGGGAGGTCCTCGTCGCCACCGCTGGATTCGCCTTGGAATTCTGGTCAGAACGCACCCCGGGATAGGCCCGGGCAGCAGCGGTATCGGTGCATTTTGGTCTCCCCATTCGAAGCTCATGTCCTCCTCTTCCCCCTCTTTCTCCTCCTCTCCTCTCTTCCTTCTTGGAGTTACCCTGCCCATCTCGCGGAACGCGCTTGCGTGGAGCTTTCACTGCGCCGTTGTTTCGCTGAGCGCGCCCGGCTGTGTGGCGGTAATTATCCTTGCTGCTGCCTGCGATGGGACGACATGGAGAACACATATTCCCCATCCGCGGGGCCGTCGAAAGAGGGGGTGAGGACTCCGATGCCTCCCCGAATCGGGTCAGAGAGGATGGGATCGGAGGTGCACCACCGACCCAAGAAATCCGCCAGGACCTCTGGAAGTTTGTGTGCGTGCCTCCTTTTGCTCCGCTGAGCACATAGTCGCAGGCCTAGAGGTTGACACCAACACCAAGATCGGCGAGGCGCCTCCACCTAGGGAAGAAGATCCCGATCTCGGTGATGGTGGTAATATTCTGGCTTTCTAGGTGGACGAAATATTACCACCGACACCGAAATCTAGGATCACCTCCCCCCTGTGGAGGCAGCCCTCTGTCTTGGTGTTGGTGCCAATTTCCAGGCCTCCCACATAGTAGGCCCTCGAGGATGTCCCGAGCCGCTCGCCTGGGCCGGCGCGCGCACCCGTGGCCAGGCGACTCGCCGCCGCCGCTGGTGACCCTGACGCTGGCGGGCAACGACCTCCAGGACGGCGCGCCGGGCGGCGGTCGGGCCTGGAGGGGCAGGCACGGGGCGAGGGGGGGGTGGGGGGTCCAGGGCGCCATAGGAGAGGGAGGGAGAGGGAGACAGGGGGAGAGGCGGATGGGGGGGAGGAGGAGGAAGGCGGAAGACGAGGAGGAGGGTGGTGACAGGGTGGGGGAGCATGGGGAGGATCCGGAGACTGATTGTGTCGTTTCAGTACTTTTGGCCTCTCTTGGAAGTCCGCACCCCTTTTGGGGGGCCACAGGACCTTTGGAGCCATCCGGGGCCTTCCAGGGGCTTCGAGTGGATCGTCCCCCCTTGAACGTCCTGCGCCACGCGCCTCCTGAGAAGCGGGGGGCCTCCTTCCTCAGAAGACCGCCCCCTCGCGCCCTACCTCTTTTTCTGCGCGCCGCCGAACCCGACGGGGGGGGGAAGGGGAAGAGGCCCGAGGTCATCGTGGTCATCGCGTCCGTCGTGGTCGTGGTCAGGTCACGGTGATGGTGGCGGTGGTCGTCGTCGTCGTCGTCGCGATCATCGTCGCGGTCGTCGTCGCTCTCACGGGCGGAGGAGGAGGAGGAGGAGGAGGAGGAGGAGGAGGAGGAGGGCGAGGGAGAGACGGTGGAGTTGGAGGAGGGAGAGGGGGTTGAGAAGAGGTAAAGAATAATGATGCGTTCAGGGAGGAGGAAAAGGAGGAAAAGGAGGAAGAGGAAGAGGAGGAGGAGGAGGAGGAGGAGGAGGAGGAGAGGAGGAGGGGAGGATGAGGAGGAGGAGGAGGAGGAGGAGGAGGAGGAGGAGGAGGAGGAGGAGGAGGAGGAGGAGGAGGAGGAGGAGGAGGAGGAGTAGAAGGAGGAGACGAGGACGAGGTGGTGGAGGAGGGGGGAGGAGGAGGAGGAGGAGGAGGAGGAGGAGGAAGAGGATAAGGACGAGAAGGAGGAGCGTGAAGAGATGGAAGAGTCGAGGCTTTCGCTCCTTCGGAGCAAACTGTCTACAGGCCTGATTCCCTGGGGAGGATGATGAGGAGGAAGAGGAGGCATGAGGAGGAGGACGAGGAGGAGAATGAGGAGGAGAAGAGGGTGGAAAACTTGGAGGCTGAGGGAGAGACGGGGGAGTTGGAGGAGGGAGAGGGGGTTGAGAAGAAGTGAAGAAAGATGAGGCGGTGGGGGAGGAGGAGGGGGAGGGAGAAGGGGAGGAGCTGGAGTAGAAGGAGGACGAGGGGGAGACGGGGGAGGAGGGGGAGGAGGGAGGATAAGGGAGAATGGGCAGGCAGCCTTTGGTTCGAGACACGGGGTAGCCCATACGCCTCCCAGGTGTTGGTGTTCCTCCTCCTTCTCCTCCTCCTCCTTCTCCTCCTCCTCGTTGTCACCCTACCATGTTTCCCGACTTGGATGAATACGCATCGTAGCGCCTGATTCGTTTCCCCCTCCCTCCGTCTCCACTCCCAGGGAAGCGAAACATGTCTGTGGTACTACCATTACTGCCAGCGATGGTGGCGATGATGACGATTCAGACGCTGCTGAATGATGACGGTGATATTGATGCGGTTGCTGATGATGCTGTTGATGATGCTGATGATGATGTTGATGCTGCTGATGTTGCTGCTGCTGCTGCTGCTGCTGATGATGCAGATGGTGATGGTGATGCTGTTGCAGACGATAATGATGACGACGATGACGATGATGATGCTGATGCTGACTATGCTAATGGTTCTGCGCATGGTGATGTTGCGTCTGCTGATGATGCTGATGCTGCTGGTGCTGATGTTGCTGATGATAATGATGCTGCTGATGATAATGATGCTGCTGATGATTATTGATATGCTGCTGATGATGACGATGATGATGACGATGACGATGACACTGATGAGGCTGTGGATGGCAAAGGTGGTGATGGCAACGATACTGCTTGGCCCCTCGCACAGCCACAGATGAGCGGCCGAGAGCACATATGGAGGGCCGACAGAGGCTCCAGAACTCCAAGCGCGTATCTTGAGCCTACCGTATCATGACATGGTTCTCGTCCCACGTTCCTCGGCCCTGGCTGCCCTATTAGTGGGGGCTGCTTGGGTCCGCTGGGGGCCCCCGCGGCATGGGGCGCCCCCCTGTTGTTGCCGTTTTGCGGCCGAGGGCTGCCCAGGCTCGACGCCTACTGAGGCTGCCTTGTGTGTTGGGCTTCCTCGCGCTCATGGAGCCTGGTTGCGCCAAAGCTGCAAATCCTGCTAATCCTTCGGCGCAGCGACGGCGACCTGGTGCCGCTCTTCTGGTCATTTTCTGCCGCTGGTGTGGGGGAGAGGCGCTTGTCGCTTGCCGCGGCCCAGGTCGGTTCAACGTCTTGGTCGACGGCGTGCGGAGAGCGCCTGCAATCTGAGCCCCCTGGCGTGGTGAAAGGCCCAGGGGCAGTCAGGTAGACGCCTAGGGCGAAACGCGGCACCCGCAGAAGAGGTATGCACTCCCAGGGCCTTGTACTGAGCAGGTCGCGAACATTGGATTGCAGGGACGTGGGGACCAGACGGAGAGAACAACGACACCAGTACCACCAGCAGGACTGCCTGGGGAGAGGAGGTTCACGATGCATCCCCGAGCTGGAGGTTGGAGATGTCTCGAGTTGGACCCTGAACAGGGTCGTTGGGGTGGTGCGGTGTCGCTGTTAGTAACAGAGACACCACTCCACGACAAAGGCCCCTCTCTGCCTGTCGTCTTTCTGTCTGTCTCTGTCTCTCTGCCTGTCGGTCTGTCCGTTTGTCTGATTTGTGGGTCTGTCTGTCTGTTTTCTACACAGGCTCGGATAGTTTCGCCCCAACGCCAGTCCACGGGCCAACGCCAGCTTTCAGCTTGTCGCGTATTAGCTAAGGCGAAACGACATGGGTTTGCACCTCATATGTTACTCCCGGCATCTTCATCTGCGTAGATTCTCCTTTCTAAAAGACTAATAGATTCTACCCCCCCCCGGACTTATCGGCCCCCCCGCGCGTGCTGTAAATTACATATGATTCTGACCACATGTCCATCCTAAATATGAATTCATACCATCCCAGCCAAGCCGGGTTCCCCCCCTCTGCGGTTCCCTTGTAAAAACACTATGCGGTGACATGTTTTGTTCTAACATATCACTTTTTTCACGAATCCCTTGCAAAAAAATGGGACGAAGTGCACACGCGCGCGTCGTGGCGCGCGCATGCAGACATCCTTCAAAAACCTTCGGTTCCGGAGAGATTTCAAAATTGAATTTCCAAAAAACATAAAAAAACACATGGTTTCGCAACACTGATTCAACAAAAAAACTTACGCGCGAGCTCTTGCGAAATCTTAAGAAAACCATAGGTTTTCCAAGATTTTCACAAAATGCTACCAAACGGGCTTCGCGCGCGCGCATGTCGAAATCTGTCGAACGCTCTTGCGCGTGTGCCGTCGCGAGAATCCTCTGCAAACAATGGGATGAAGTGCAGACGCGCGCGTCGTCGCGGGCGTATGCCGAAATCCTTCAAAAACTTTCGGTTTCGGAAGAATGTCGAAATCGTGCATCCAAAAAACACAAAAACACAATGTTTCGCAACACGGGTTTTCAACAAAATTGTGCGCGCGCGCTCTTGCGTCGTCGTCGTCGTCGTCCTCCCTCCTTCCTCGTCGTCGTCGTCGTCGTCGCCGTCGTCGTCTTCTGTCTTTCCTCGTCGTCTTTGGCGTCGTCGTCGTTTCCGTCGTCGTTGTCGCCGTGGTCGTCCTTCCTCCCTCGTTGTCTTCGTCGGCGTCTCGTCGTTGTCCCTCCTATTTCGTCGCCGTCGTCGTCGTCGTCGTCGTCGTGGTCTTCACTTCTCCCTCGTCGTTATCCTCCTCCCTCGTCGTCGTCGTCCGTCGTTGGCGTCTCGTCGTCGTCCCTCCTATTTCGTCGCCGTCGTCGTCGTCGTCCTCGTCGTCGTTGTCATCGTCGTCGTCTTCCCTCCTTCCTCGTCGTTGTCGTCGTCGGCGTTTCCGTCCTTCCTCCTTCTTCGTCGTTGGCGTCGTCGACGTCTTCCCTCCATCGTCGTTGTCGTCGTTGTCGCCGTCGTCGTTTTTTCTCCTCCCTCGTCGTCGTCTCCGTTGGCGACGTCGTCGTCGTCTTCGTCGTCGGCGTCGGCGTCGTTGTCGTCATCGTCGGTGTCGTCGTCGTCGTTGTCGTCGTCGAAAACATTGGAGACGTCGTCGGTGTCGTCGCAGTCGCTGTCGGCGGCGCCGTCGTCGTCGATGTCGCTGTCGTCGTCGGCATCGGTGTCGTGGCCAAGTGCCACGCAGTACCTACCGTCACGGTCTTGTCTGAAGATGTCTTGCGACCAAGTTGCGGGTGGGAGGGTGGGATGTTTGCACGAGCAGTGGAGAGGACAGCTTCAAGACAGTCGAAGTGGATTCTCCTTTCTAAAAGACTAATAGATTCTACCCCCCCCACTCCCCCGGACTTGTCGGTTACCCCGCGCGTGCTGTAAATTACATACGGTTATGACCACATGTCCATCCTAAATATGAACTCATACCATCCCAGCCAAGCCGGGTTCCCCCCCCCTGCGGTTCCCTTGTAAAAAAACACTATGCGGTGACATGTTTTATTCGAACATAGCAGTTTTTCACGAATCCCTTGCAAAAAATGGGACGAAGTGCACACGCGCGCGTCGTGGCGCGCGCATGCCGAAATCCTTCAAAAACCTTTGGTTCCGGAGAGATTTCAAAACTGAATTTCCCCAAAAACATGCAAAAATACATGGTTTCGCAACACTGATTCAAAGAAAAACTTACGCGCGAGCTCTTGCGAAATCTTAAGAAAACCATAGGTTTTCCAAGATTTTCACAAAATGCTACCAAACGGGCTTCGCGCGCGCGCATGTCAAAATCTGTCGAACGCTCTTGCGCGTGTGCCGTCGCGAGAATCCTCTGCAAAAAATGAGATGAAGTGCAGACGCGCGCGTCGTCGCGGGCGTATGCCGAAATCCTTCAGAAACCTCCGGTTTCGGAAGAATTTCGAAATCTTGCGTCCAAAAAACATACAAAAATGCAAGGTTTCGCAACACGGGTTTTCAACAAAATTGTGCGCGCGCGCTCTTGCGTCGTCGTCGTCGTCGTCCTCCCTCCTCCCTCGTCGTCGTCGTCGTCGTCGTCGTCGCCGTCGTCGTCTTCTGTCTTTCCTCGTCGTCTTTGGCGTCGTCGTCGTTTCCGTCGTCGTTGTCGCCGTGGTCGTCCTTCCTCCCTCGTTGTCTTCGTCGGCGTCTCGTCGTTGTCCCTCCTATTTCGTCGCCGTCGTCGTCGTCGTTCGTCGTCGTGGTCTTCACTCCTCCCTCGTCGTTATCCTCCTCCCTCGTCGTCGTCGTCCGTCGTCGGCGTCTCGTCGTCGTCCCTCCTATTTCGTCGCCGTCGTCGTCGTCTTCGTCGTCGTTGTCATCGTCGTCGTCTTCCCTCCTCCCTCGTCGTTGTCGTCGTCGGCGTCGCCGTCCTTCCTCCTTCTTCGTCGTTGGCGTCGTCGCCGTCTTCCCTCCTCCATCGTCGTTGTCGTCGTTGTCGCCGTCGTCGTTTTTTCTCCTCCCTCGTCGTCGTCTCCGTTGGCGACGTCGTCGTCGTCTTCGTCGTCGTCGTCGGCGTCGTTGTCGTCGTCGTCGGTGTCGTCGTCGTCGTTGTCGTCGTCGAAAACATTGGAGACGTCGTCGGTGTCGTCGCAGTCGCTGTCGGCGGCGCCGTCGTCGTCGATGTCGCTGTCGTCGTCGGCATCGGTGTCGTGGCCAAGTGCCACGCAGTACCTACCGTCACGGTCTTGTCTGAAGATGTCTTGCGTCCAAGTTGCGGGTGGGAGGGTGGGATGTTTGCACGAGCAGTGGAGAGGACAGCTTCAAGACAGTCGAAGTGGTTTGCACCACATAGATTGCACCACACCCGGAATATCGGAAGGACATCCCAAGGGACACCACGCCCAAACCACGCCAAGCCAGGCACATTGCCAGGACGTCTCAAGCAACGCTTGTCGAAACCATGAATCCCCAGGCACATCCAAGAGGACGTTACAGGTGTAGACGCGCCAGAGCCAAGCCATTCCAGGCAGATTGCGAGGACGTCTCAGGCGAACCCAGCTCCAAACCAAGCCAAAGCAAGGCCTAAAGCAGGCAAGTCTTGCAGATGTCCCAGGCGGGACGCCACTCCAAGTCAGGCCTAATCAGGCCAAGCCAGGGGCCACATCAGAAAGTTCAAGGATGTCCTGAGCGAGAAGCCCCAGACTCGGCCCAATCCACCATCCTTGATATATTTGACACTTGAAGACTTAAACAAGTAAGTCGTAGACGGCCCGAGGGCCAAGGGGGCCGCACCGCAGGGGGTCCTCGAGCTACATTCTAGACGCCTCGCGTAGCCCCACCAGCCCATCCAGAAACGATGCCCAGGCGAATTGCCCTGATCAGAGATGTGGATGTGGAGAGCATGCAGTGAAATAACGGGCTGGGGAGGACCGTATACCTCAAGAGGGGGAGGATTTAGGAGGAGGAGGAGGAGGAGGAGGAGGAGGGGGACCCGTGTAAACCCAAGACGAGTCAACGATATTCCAGTCAATGTTCCCGACGCGTTCCATATTCACAGGCCCCTAGAAAGATTCATTTCCACTGAGGAAGTGCCCTGTTGGAAGACAACCGTTCGAAGATCGTGAACTGTGCCAGAACACCATTCCCATTCCTAGGTCTTCAACGCCGCGACTCACCAGTACTGTTGCATGTCGGCGGCCCTGAGTCGTGCCAGACCACTTTTTCTACGATTTTAGCACCATGAGTCAACGTTACTGCTTCGCCCTGGCAGTCCGACACCGTGCCAAAATGCATTGTTTGGGATGCGAACCATAAACATATTTTGTCTGCCGTGTACTCTTAAAACGAATGTGCGCGGCGCTCAGGCGTGAGCCACATTTTGAAAACGGCCCGCCCTCCATCCGTGAAGCTCTTGCAATTCTTTAAACGAGAGCCTCGTTGTGAAACCTGCCCTCCATTTGTGAAACTCGTGTAATGATTTAAGACGAATGTGCGCAGCGCTGAGGCGAGAGCCACATTTTGGAAACGGCCCGCCCTCCATCCGTCAAACTGTTGCAAGTTTCAAGTTTCCAGACCATCAGGGTGAAGATGTCTCAGGCGGAACGCATGGCCCGCCCTTTCGCCCGACCTCGGGGTGCGACAGGGAGGAGTCATTTGGAAAAGGGATGGAGAAGGGGGAGGGGGAGGGGGCAAGCTAGGTGCGCTCGCGTCATATCTGACGTCCTACCCCTCCCTCCCATCCCTTACCATGGCGCTGATTTTCTCTATCCGCGGACGCGTGTCGTAGCGGACCTGTGGCTCCGCGCGCGCGTGCGTAGTGGGTGGTGGTGCGCGTGCGTGCGTGCGTGCGTGTGTGCGTGGTTGTGGTGGTGGTGGTGGTGGTGGTGGTGGTGGTGGTGGTGATGGTGGTGGTGGTGGTGCTGGGTGGTGGTGGTGGTGCTGGTGGTGGTGGTGGTGGTGGTGGTGGTGGGTGGTGGTGGTGGTGCGGCGCGGTGGTGGCGGGCGGATGGGCGCGCGAGAAAGAGGCCCGCGCTGGGGCGAGAACGCCATCCTGAACGACGGAGGCCAAACACCGATCCGAAAATGAGGCCCACGCTGCAGCGGGAGCACGATTCGGAACGATTCGGGAGCAGAAATGAGGCCGGCGCCTCAGCGAGAGCAGCATTTTGAAAAAAAACGCAGGCGAAAACCCAACTCCCGGGAATCCTGTGTGTAAAAAACAGTACGCGGGGGGGGGGTCGGCTACTTTCAGGCCGCCATCGGGGGAAGAGGGAGAGTAGTATTCATATTGAGTAATTGTAGAAGGGAGGAGCAGGAGAACGAGCAGGCGGAGGATGAGGAGGAGGAGGAGGAGGAGGGGAGCGAGCAGAATGGCCAGGGGCCTGTTTGATGCCTCTCGGAGTCTCTTCGGGTCTCTTGAATGTTTCTGTGAGTTCTCTTGGAGTGTCTTAGGGGCCTCTTGGCGGTCCTGGGAGCCTCGTAGAGCGTTTTGGGTGCCGCCGGGGATTCTCTTAGGGGCATCGTGTGGGTATCTTGGGAGCCTCTTGGGGAACACCACTTGGAAGCCTCTTGAGGCCTCCTGGGCGCCTCTTGGGGCCCTCTTGGGGCACTCTTGGGGGCATCGGAGGCCATCTTGGAGCCATCTTGGAGAAGATCGGTCAAAGACGACGGGGCTCGATTAGCCTCCAACCCCCTCAGGAGACCAAAATGGGCCCAACACGGATGTCAAATCAATGATGGTTGCTTTCTCGCCGAGGCCATCTTGGACGCTCCAATTGGTCGCGAACCCCAGGTCCAGGGGTCGGGGGTCGGGGGAGGGGTGTAAACCCCTTCCTGAAGGGGTAGAGGGAAGATGGAAGAGGGAACGCCCTATACCACCCACGCCCAAAGGACTTGAGGGATTTACAGTTGGGTCGGGCGCATCAGCATGTATCTGTCTTTCGACTGTTGTTCGAGCTCCAGAGCCCGAGTTTGCAGGTATTGAAGAGAGGGAGATAGAGAAAGAGAGAGAGAGAGAAAACGACATATAGAGAGAGGGAGAGAGAGAGAGAGAGAAGGAGAGAGAGAGAGAGAGAGAAACCAAAAAAAGATAAAGAGAGAGAGAGAGAGAAAAAAAGAAAGAGAGAGAGGGAGAGAGGGTCGGCGTCAAGCCGTGCGGAAAGCTCTGGGGCGTTGGTGGGCGCTGATGCCCGGTTCGTGGGCGATGATGCTGACTGCAGTTCTCGTTTTTGCGCAGTGCGCATGGCTTTGCACATGGCTCTGCAGAGGCATCAAGCGATGCCAGGGGCTGCCAGTTCCTCATGCGAGCCTCCGTTGCCCATTTTTTCCCCACGAACAGGCATCTTCATTCGGAGCAGGGCGTCCAGATCGTGGCGCGGGGCGGACCTCGAGTGGCTTCTGGAGGTGGACCTCGAGGGCTCCTTTGTGCTCGGCCTCTGTCTTTCGCTGCTGTCGTTGCCCTTCCGTCTGGATCCGCTGGCTCAGAGGGTGAACCCGATGCTCTTGGAGGTGTGTTGCGCGTTTTTGAAGGGCTTCTTCGGCCTCCAGAGGCCACCCGCAGAACATCCGGAGACCGCCGAAGGGGCCTCCGCGGAGGCTTCCCGGGGAGCTACGAAGAGCTCGTCAGAGCTCCTCCAGAGCGACATCCAGAGACCTCCGCGGAGACTCTCCGCAGAGCGAGCTCTGCAGGAGGCTTCGGGAGTGCTGCGAGAGGCCTCTGCAGGGGACCAGGGGGGGATTCTTGCGGAGCACTTTCGGCGTCCCAGCCCGTTCCGGCCGCTGAGGGAGCAGCCGAACGGGCTCAGCTCCGACATCGAGCCTGCTCGGCCGCCGAGAGGGTTCGATCCCGAGCCCGACCGGGGCGGCTGAACGGGCTCTGGCGCCGAACAGGCTCGGAAGAGAACGCTGGGTCAGCTCAGGAGAGGCGGAGCTGTTTGATCGACGGAGCAAGCGGCGCGCCGCCCGGAGGACGCCGGCATGCGGACTCTGGCGGCGACCCTGAGCGGCGCCTCTGTCGAGGAGGGCAGGGTGGGGTGTTCCACAGAGCTCCCAGGTGGAGAGCGGCACCCATCCCGAGGTGGGGATTTATTCAAAACCACCACATGGGGGACCGCCCTTCGGGGACCTCGGCAGGCGCTGGCTATCGATCATCGGGGCCAGTGGGGCCCAAATCTATCCATGTCCACCGCCCGCTGGGGTCCCAGTACGTCGGTTCCACAGGCGGTGGATGTGGATCTGTCCACGCCTAGCACCCGTCGCCAGTGCAACGCGCTGCGTACGCGTCGATGCTTCGTGCTCCAGATGCGCGTCAGATGGGGGAAGGTGCCGATGCCGCTGGGTGCGCCCCTGCGTTGCCGCAGCCCGATTCGCCTCGAAGTCCTGGTCAGATCGCGCCTCGGGCCTGGCAGCGTCGGCATCGGGATTCTGTTGATCCCTTGATTGGGAGGAGCTGGAGCAGGAGGGAGGGAGGAGGAACAGGTGGAGGAGGGAGGGAGGAAGAACCGGGAATGAGGGCAGGAGGGAGGTCCGTCGAGCAGCGGTATCGGTGTCGGTGTGCCCCCCCAACCCCCGGCGCGCGGTATAGAATATGGGGGGGGTGGGCGAGAGAGGAGGGGCTCTGGGAGCAAGTAAAAGACGCGGGGCGGAGGAGCGCGGGGGGGGGGAGCAGGATGAGGAGGAGGAGGACGAAGAATAATGAGGGTCAGTGGCAAGAGTGGTGAGGATGAGGAGGATGAGGATGAGCAGGAGGAGGACGGGAGATGAGGTGCAGAGGGGAGAAAGAGGATGGTGTTCTTTTGGATGACGAAAGCAATGACGAGTCCTCCTCCTTCATAAGCTTTCTTCTTGGTCCTCGAACGTCGTACTCGATTATCCTCCTCGATCCTCTATCCTCGTACTCCTCGATCCTCTTCCCCCTCGATCCCCCTCGGTCATCGATCCTCGACCTTTCTGCTCAATTTTCCTCCTCGATCATCTCCCCTCGATCATCCTCGACCCTGGATCCTCGATCCCCGTCCTCGATCATCCACCTCTTCCTCGATCCTCGAGGCTCCTCCTCATCGGACCTCCTCCTCGACCCTCCTCGACCCTCGATCCTCCTCATCGGCCATCTTCCTCCTTCTCCTCGATCCTCGATCCTCGATCCTCCTCCTGCTCCCCCGACTCTCCTCGTCCTCCCCGACTCTCCTCACCGACCTCCTCCTCGATCCTGGCCATCATCGATCCGCCTCCCTCGGCCAGTACAAAGATGATAATAACAGAAACTGAGTCCGGATATGTGATACAAAAGGGCAGAGGATCTTGATAAGTCATAAAGGAGGCGACCAGAGAGGGGTCCTGAGAGGGTCCAGAGATCGTCTCGCGAATGGCTCAGCACAGCGGAGCTCCCGTTGGAGACGTCCTTTCAGTTCACTCCAAGAGGCGAGGCTCCCGATCGAGACGCACGCACAATTCATTTCACGAGCTCCCGCGATGCAGTTCCTTCGATAGGCATCAGGTGGCGGCGGGCAGACGTGGCAGCGTCTGACGAAGCTGCCGCAACCCCCCCTGGGAGAGGTTACGTTTCCCGTTGGCCTTACCAGTGCCTGTGGCGAATCGCTATCAGGGAACAGAGAGCGGGATAACTGGAGATCGTTGGGACAATGTCAGGGGGTGGAGGGGAGAGTATCATTCACATGGCGTAATTGCGGATACAGCACATGACCAGGTTGGCGGAGGAGGCCCAGGGCAACGGGATGAGTAGGAGGGGGGAGAGAAGGAAGGGATGATGAGGAGGAGATTGAGGTGCAGCAGCGGGGAAAGGAGTAACATAATGAGCAGCGGGAATAGGACATGTAGCATCAGGAGGACTATCATGAGGATCGGTACCACAGTTGCCGAGATGAGGATGGGGAACATGACGAAGTGAAACACGAGATGCCAGGGCCCGTCGATGTATGACGACGATGGGGGGAGTGGGAAGCGGGGATGTAGAGGTTGCTGGCGGGGGAGGGGCAGCGGGGAGGCGAGGAAGGATGCGGGTACAGAAGAGGAAGGAGGAACTCATGGATAAGAGATAGGATGTTGAAGGGTTGGAAGACGAATAGATCTCCCCAGGACGGTCTTTCTTGACGTGGGCAAGGAATCTACTCGGTGGGGGAAAGGGGCTTAATCATGGACTCAGAACATCCTGCCCCTCCGAATGCCACTATATTTTCCCTCTCTATCTATCCTCTCCGCCTTCCTCTAGGATCATCTTGTCACCCCTCCTCACCGTCTCACCCTGATCCTGCTTTCTCCCGCCCTCCTCCTTCTCCTGTCTCCCCCCCCTCCCTCCACGTTCAACGACGTCCACAATGAAGCCTGTTAGATTTCGCGATGTGGCCGACCTTGATTCTGCGATACTACGAGGTCCGCGGGCATATTGGGGCGACGGAGGGACGGACCAGGAGGTGGATTTATGATTAAGGATGGGTGTATTATGGCAAGCTCTGAGTAGGAGGGCAGCTGAGTTGGCGTTGAGACTGCTCTGGGCCTGTTGAAGAGTTTTTCGACGCGGCATATTGGAACGCATGTGTTTGGCGATCCTAGCCGCATCCCAGCACTAGAACTAGACTGCTCAGCAAGGTCGTGCTTGTTGTACTTGTCCGGGCGCACTTTGAATCACGCGTGATAGCCAGCGCCTTTTACAGCGAATTCGTTAGAGGTTTCACTTGCGGTGGGAGAAGACGTCTCTGCGAGGGGCATGCCGTGCCGTACCGCGCCCGCGTGCCGCGCCCTTGCCGTGCCTATTGTCATCAGAAGGCAAAGGCGTTGCCGCCGTGCCGTGTTTGAGTGCGGTGGGAGAAGAGGTCTCTGCGAAGGGCATGCCGTGCTGCCGTGCCGCGCCCGCGTGCCGCGCCCCTGCCGCGCCTATAGCCAGCTGGAGGCAGAGGCGTGGCCGCCCATGCCGTGGCCGCCTGCCGTGTCCGCGTGCCGTGCCCGTGCCTGCCCCTCAGACTGCGCCGGGGTGCCCTGCCGCGCTCGCCCAGGGCCGTGCCGTGCGCGCAGGCCCGTGCCCTGCCCGGCCGTTGTAAAAGCCGCAAGCTCCTCCTCCACCTCGCTCCACCTCGCTCCTCCTCCTCCTCCTCCTCCTCCTCCTCCTCCTCGCTCCTCGCTCCTCGCTCCTCGCTCCTCCTCCTCCTCCTCCTCCTCCTCCTCCTCCTCCTCCTCCTCCTCGCTCCTCAGGTGGCATCTGGCTCGGGCCGTTGGGGCGCCCGAACTGCCTTTGCCCCCAGCCTCCCGCCCCGCACGGGGTCGGAGGCGCAACCAGGATCGCCGCGCGCCGCGATCCCTCCCCTGCCTGGCATAGGCGGCTGCGGCGGCGGCGTGCAAGCGCCAGGCAGGTCTTGGCTGAGGCCGAGGCTCGCCGACTTCTCGCCCGACACCACGGCGATCATCCAGCTGGTGGCGTCGTGGGCTCTCACGGTGAGTCCGTCTGGGCGTGCAAGGCCACGCGGGTCTGCGGATTCAGGACGAACTACCCGTCTCGCACGACGTGCTGGGGATGCGGTCGAGACAGAGACGGGCGACCTTCCTCCGACAAAGGGCACCAGCAGGACCCGCCCAGGCGCCGCAGTCGGCAGCCATCCCGCCCTCGGGCTCCTTCAGCTGTCCGTGGCGCTCCGTGGCACGAGGACACAGTCATGGAGGACGGCACCAAGTCGGCCACCCAGTCTACCTCAGACGTGGTCAAGTGCAAGAAGGCTCTCGCACAGTTGCGGCGCCTGTACGACGACGACCACGGCATGGTCCAGCTCGCCCGCAGCGAGCTCGCAGCCGCGGAGGCCAAGGCGAGAGCCAGCATGGCTCCAGACGACCTCCTTCGCAGCGCCAAGGATCGCTACGCGGCGAAGGAGGCAGAGCGCGAGCAGCAGCAGCAGGCCGTCACCGACATGGAAGCCAAGCCCGGCGACGCCAAGAAGCGCCTCGCCACCCTGGAGAGCGAGGTGGGAGTCATCAAGGCGGAGGTCTACCAGGCCCAGACCGCCGTCGCCGCGGCAGCTGCGGAGGCCACACGTGGGCAGCAAGTGTCACTTGATGCAGGCATGTCCCAGCTGCAGCAGAAGTTCGCGATGGCGCAGCAGGCGGTGCAGGACGGCGGCGACAAGCAGGCGATCGCCACCCACTTCATGGACACCCTTGCGCGCAGCTTGAGCTGCTCAGTCGCCAGTCTCACCCTGCCCAGCTCCTGCCCCAGCGCCCGCTGCAGGACCAGGCACAGCGACAGCAGCAACAACTGTGCAGCCGCCTGGGCAGGCAGCGCCTCTTCGCCCCCCACACAGGCACCAGACGCAATGGCCTGGGAGCTGGCGGGGGCACACTATAGTTCGAGGCAAACGAGGAGCGCGCCGACAGGCACTTGGCTTTGTCACCTTCAATGAGTCGTGCTGGATTACGTGTCAAGCGTTTTTGAGAGAAGGTGCGGGGGATGCCAAGATAGTGGCGGCGCAGGAACTACGACTGGACGGAGAACAGCTGGCCCGTGCGCGGCACTGGTCGATCTCCAACGGATGGACTCCATACATCACGCCGTGTCGTCGACCCAGCACGGGATTACCGGGTGCGGGAGTTGGCATTTTCATCAGAGCGAACGTGCAGACCACATTGCTCACAGGACCGTCTGGGCGCACAGGCTTTGAGGTCCTTCGGTCGTGGTCATGCTTGATTCACGCAGATATCGGCCTACCAGGTGGCCTCCTCATCGGCTCGGTGTACATGGAATCATGCAACAGCACAGACTACGTCGGCACGAGCCTCATGCGTTATTACCAGCTTGCGGAGCATTTGCGCTATTACGGCCCGCCGTTCATCATCGGAGGAGACTGGAACCAGACCCCAGCTGGTTTCGACGCCAACGGCTTCGCAGACATGATTCCAGGTGCGCCTTTGCACTGCAAAGGCGAGGGGGCATGTCGATCAGCGGCGGGACGATACTCCATGATTGACTACTGGCTTACCTCGGCTGACGTGCACGCGGCCTGCCAGACACCGACGTTGGT